CACACACACACACACACTCAAAATATAAAGTTAAAAAAAATGAAAAAATAAAAAGCCAAACAATCAGCCTCCCAGTAAGGCCAAGAATACAGGTAGCATAAACACTATCTTGGGGTAAATGGTGTTCCCAAAAATTCATGTCTGCCCAGAGCCTGTCACCAAAAACTTATCTGAAACTAAATCTGTGTAGATGTAATCAACTTATTCACTTTTAAGTTCAAATTTTCACTTTATTAGGTGAGGTGATGATTAAAATACCTAAAAATTGGCAAGCACTCTCTGGTCAAGTTCATACTGCTTTAGGTGAGCCCCAAATTCATTATGCCTGGTGTGGTAAAAGTGGATGCAGTCAAACACAGAAGTGCAGAAACTCACTGTGAAATGGTGGAGGCAAAGACCAGCGTGCTGTGCGGACCAGGAAGGAATAACAAAGACAGGAGGGAAGCGTAGAATGCACAACTTTGGCTGAAAGAAACTAAGCTTCCCCACCACCTCATTCTCACTCCACAACTGAAAGGGATATAGTTCTGCTGTTTTAAGTCTTCCAGCTTATGTTACTTTGCTACCAATGAAGCTAATGAAAATAGGTTTATGCTCTTCTAGTCCTAATACCAGTCTGGGGAACTCTTGTAGAATGTCACTATAAAGACAAATAGTGAAAATATCCCTACTGAGATAATTTACAGTCCATTTAAAATATCTCTTGTGCCAACCTCAACCTCAAAGTGAAAAAAAATATATAAATATTTAGATTTTGAAAAATATTTAAATGTTAAATAATAGGGAATGAATAGAAGCATCACTTCAAGGAACATCATCATTGAAAAAAAAAAAAAAAATGTAAAAACTGGGCCGTCCCTGGTAGTGCAATGGGTTAAAGCACAGCACCATGAAGATGTCCACCACCACCCACTGCAGCATGAGTTGGATCCCTGGCCAGGGAGGTGATCCACATGGCACTGCAGACATCTCCTCTCTTGCCCACTACCTCCTCAGCAGTGTACTTCATCAGTCTGCCAGTTCGAAACTCCACACTGTCTCTGGTGAATCCTCTCACTGCTGCTGCACCTCTAGCCTCTACCCCAGTTCTGTATGCATAAATAAATAAATCTTTGGGGAAAAAAAAGTTCAGAGACAGGACTCCACTGTTCACAAGTCAAGGAGAGCAATACACAGAGACAGTGTTCTAGAGCATTCTAGAGCAAGCATGACTTGTGTTTCTTTCCACATGAATGAAAGCTCTGCCCTGTGATACACTTTAGGGAGCATGTCACAGTGATGGTGACAGAGCCTGCTTTTGAAAAATGGGAAGGATGAAGGAGTTGGGGTGTGGTTACAGTGGAAACCAGCACACCAGGGGAACCTTCCACAGCAAAGGGATTAGGCAGCAGCTTGTGAGGAATGTGTAGCAGTGAGTGTAACAAGCCAGTGCAATTGAAGCTCACAGTACAACAGGGAAATGGTGGAAGTGCCTGCTGGAAAGGCAAGGAGAAGTTGAATCACACAAGGCTGAAAACCCCACAATAAAACATGGAACAAGCTCAGAAGACCTAGTTCTATAAACTAGAAGACGTGTAGGATCAACAAGGACAAGGAGGCTGATGATCAAGAAAGAAGATTACAGTTAGCGGGCATGCAGGGAGATGTGGATGGTTGATAGAGCATCTACAAGCAGTTCTCACAGAATCACTTGGCCTAAGGCAACTTTGTCTCAGTTCCAGGAAAAGGCAGGAATAAATGAGGACCAGATGAAAGGGATGTCACTGTTATTGAGATTTGTTTACTAACAAATCAAAAGTGGGGCAAATGTACAGATGCAAACAAAATTTAAAGAAAAAGTGCAGTGTACTAAAAATAGGATCCTCTCTTTCCCACCCACATGTCTTTCTCCCCACTGCTGGCCTCAGATGCTCTGCCAGTGCTCTGCCCTGCGGTCCTACAAGACTGGGCTGAACTGTGACAACGTGGCTGAGCAGTCAAGGAGACTAGACAGCTTGATACAATGACAGGGTGGGTGAGAGAATACAGGCCTCAGAAAATGAAGAATAAAGCAAGGGCCTCCCTGGTGGCCTGAGGATAAGGTTCAGCATTATCATCACAATGACCTACAATGACAGCTTGAGTTTGTTCCCCTGCCAGAGAGGTGACCCACAGGGTACA